TACCACAAGGTGCTTGAATGAAAATCCGATTAATAAATTAATCAGAGTGTATCCCTACCTGAACAACATAGCTTTCAACAATTTTTTACCTAGAAATAATGGATGGGGCAATGCAACGTTTGCCGGGCCAGCAATATACCCTATATATATATATTAATATATTTTTAATGCAATTAGGTTGAAATTAATATTGTTAAAAGAAATAATTTCAAATATGTGCCTAATAAGATCTATATCTTTCTCTTAGGTTAAACTGGCGACTGTGATAAATTATACAATTAAAAATGAAAACACGGTTTAGCTCTTACGATATCATATGTGGTGTCGCAGAGCTCCAAAGGTAATTTCTATAAATTGAGAATTACTTCATTTATTGCTAACCCAGTATAATTAATATTTATTTTCTTATAGGTTAATCGGCTTACGTGTAAACCAGATATATGATATTGACAATAAGACTTATCTATTTCGGCTTCATGGAGGCGGAGCATCAGAGAAGGTTACCTTATTGATTGAATCTGGAACTCGCTTTCACACGACTTCGTTTGAATGGCCAAAGAATATGGCACCTTCAGGATTTTGCATGAAGTTCAGGAAACATTTAAAAAATAAACGGCTCGAGCATATAAATCAACTAGCAGCTGATAGAATAGTTGACTTTCAATTTGGCAGTGGAGAAGCTGCTTATCATGTATTTTTGGAGTTATATGATCGTGGAAACGTTATTTTAACTGATTATGAGAAAACAATACTATACATCTTACGTCCTCACACGGAAGGAGAGAGTATAAAATTTGCAGTGCGTGAAAAATATCCCGTCGATCGAGCAAAAATAGGAAATTCTGAACTGATGGAAAGCAAAATGCGTGAGATAATAGAAAATTCGAAAGAAGGGGATAGCTTGAAACGCATATTAATGCCGATTCTTGACTGTGGTCCAGCTGTAATTGAGCACGTTCTGATTGAACATGGATTAGAAAATCACTTCATAAAAGGTTCGGTGGTTCAAAAGCAAGGCGAAGCAGAATCGTCAAAAAAACAAAGCAAACAAAAAAATCGTAAAAGTTCAGAGGTAAATCCATGTGATATAAAATTTTTTGATTTGGCAGCAGATTTACCAACACTTATGTTGGCTTTCAAGGTTAGTACAAATTCCTATTAATTTAGCCTTTAATTTTTTAAATTAATTAATTTAAATGACTTACTGACGTTTCATATACTCCATGAACAAAGGTACTGTTATATTATTTTTCATTTTATCAAGAATGAGATACTTAAAAGTATTTAAATTATTTGCCATAAATGCGAACATGTCATGATCAAGTGTGACTATCGATTTGAAATTCAACACATATTTAGAGCAAAATTCAATTTTTGTTTTTGTAATTTTATCCCTCTTAGACTTTTGCAAAATTTGTTTGGTTTCTGATTCTTAGCTGTCAAAATGTATCAACAATTTAGTTCTAGAAAAAATGAACAATAAATATTTACGTCAGCCCACATATGCATCATTGAATGATTTACCTTACATGCTTGTTGCCCACTGTTGGAATGGTTTCTACTATTTGGATTCGGTGGTCAACAAATTTATTATATTAAATCTAAATTGCTGAAAAGCCAGGAAAATATATTTTCATATCAATTTATAAAAAAATGTTATATTTTTAGAGCGTCCATGATTTGATGACAATTGGACGGAATGGAAGATCCAAAGGATTTATAATTCAAGTTAAAGAAGAAAAACCTACAAAGTCTGAAAATACAGAACATTTTTATAGAAATATTGAGTTTCATCCTTACCTGTTTTCTCAATATAAAGAACTACCTTTTAAGGAATATGAAACATTCATGGAGGCAGTTGATGAATTTTTTTCGTCTCAAGAGTCACAAAAAATTGATATAAAAACATTGCAGCAAGAAAGAGAAGCTCTTAAGAAGCTTTCTAATGTAAAAAAAGATCATACAAAGCGCCTAGAGGAGCTTAATAAAGTGCAAGAAGATGATAAAAAAAAGGCAGAATTAATAACATCTAATCAGAGTTTGGTGGATAAAGCTATTTTGGCAATCCAGTCAGCCATAGCAAGTCAATTGTCGTGGCCAGATATACAAGAGCTTGTAAAAGAAGCCCAAGCCAATGGAGATATTGTTGCAAGTTCGATAAAACAGTTAAAGCTGGAAATAAATCACATATCATTATTACTTTCGGATCCGTATAAAAATGAAAACGAAAATGATAATGATTCTGATAACGATTCGGTTATAGTAGACATTGATTTGGCATTATCCGCATGGGCCAATGCTCGCAGATATTATGATTTGAAGCGTTCTGCGGCCCTAAAAGAGAAAAAAACGATTGATGCATCGCAGAAAGCTTTAAAGTCAGCAGAGCGTAAGACACAGCAAACGCTAAAAGAAGTACGCACTATATCAAATATAGCTAAAGCAAGAAAAATTTTTTGGTTTGAAAAGTTTTTTTGGTTTATTAGTTCCGAGAACTACTTAGTAATAGGTGGAAGAGATGCTCAGCAAAATGAACTTATTGTTAAAAGGTGAGTAAATAGCATAAGGGTTGACATATTATCTATTTTAGTGTCCATTGATATTTGTACGCCATGTATAAGAATCACTCTTGCTATTGATTCGAAATTTTTAATGCACACTATTGAGCGCTGGGTAAAGTTTTTTTTTACAGTAAAATCGGCGGATTTGTAACAATATTTTTATACGTACAATAAGTTATTATTTATCGATAATATTACAGCCGTCTTTTAATATATAAGCAAATTAACACAGTCGTTAGTTAGACGGTAAATGCCAATATAAATAATAATATAATTTATGATAATTCATAAAATAACCAATACTCAATCTTAGCACAGTTTTTGCTAACTGCACAGTTAGAAGATTGCGGTGTTATACGTGCGTATGGATGCATGTGTGCGTTGTGTGCATAAAAAATACAGAATGATTGGAATATCAATTCTATCCAGTGTTCAGGAGGTATCCTAGTCGACCAGTCTCGACTAGAGTAATTTGGAAAAAAATTGATAATTGACCAAAAAGAATTAGGTGAGCAAATTAGTTTCAAATGGTTTCATTAACAATCACATCAATTAATAACAAGCAGGAGAGAGTTTTCGAGACAAATATGATAAATGTCATGGTCTCGTATGATACATGATGTCTTTATTGCTATTGGCTTAAATGTATTTCTTACTCTCATTTCTTATTTTTTAATAGATACATGCGACCGAAGGACATATATGTGCATGCAGACATTCAAGGCGCATCAAGTGTTATCATTCGTAATACAACTGGAGAAGAAATTCCACCCAAAACATTATTAGAAGCTGGCACAATGGCTATTTCATACAGCGTAGCGTGGGATGCAAAGGTTGTGACAAATTCTTACTGGGTTTATAGTCATCAAGTTAGTAAAACGGCTCCAACAGGAGAATATTTAGGTACAGGAAGTTTTATGATACGCGGGAAAAAAAATTTTTTGCCATCTTGTCATCTTATTATGGGGCTAAGCCTACTTTTTAAACTTGAAGATAGCTTTTTACAACGTCATGCTGGAGAAAGGAAAATTCGCACTACAGAAGATACTATTAATCCGGATAATATTGAGCAGCCAGAAATTTCATCCACTGATCTAAATGAAATCAACGAGGCTTTTGAATCAATTAATGAATATGGAACGAATTCATTTCCAAATACTGAAGTAAAGATTGAACATGATACCGGTAGAATAACTGTTAAAACTGATTTATTAGAGGAAACAATTGAAACAGATGCTGTTAATCGACAAAGCCAAGACATAATAAATGATGAAGATACGGTCATTATAAAACCAGCACCATCCCGAAAGAAAAATCAATCCACAAAAAAACGTAGGGAATGTAAAGAACGGTCAGAAAAAAAAAATATTGAGATGTTTCATGTTGCCTCCCCAGAAACGGAAACAAATTCTTCTAAGGTTAAGCGCGGTCAAAAGGGAAAATTAAAAAAAATGAAACTGAAATATAGAGATCAGGATGACGAGGAACGCAAAATAAGGATGATGATTCTAAACTCATCAGGAAAGGATAAACCGATAGCTAATACTGAGAGTCAGGTGGAAAAACGTAGTTCTTTACCAAAAACAACTCCAGTGGAAGCGTTAGAAAACATTCTCTCCAAAAATCAAGTTGAAAATGAAGATATCGACGACAATCCCATTGCTGTAGACACCGACTTGTTAGATGGCCTTACTGGTGTACCATTTGATGATGATGAGTTGCTATTTGCTATACCAGTTGTAGCTCCGTATCAAGCATTGCAGCAATATAAGTAAGTATAGATAGTCAAAAATTACTTAAATTCGTAAGTTGATTACCAGTGACTACATTTTGACACTTCAATTAAACATTTTATTGTTGAATTCGATGAGTTCAGTTCAAATAATAGTGTAATAAGCACATTTTTACAATAAGTGTGAGAGCGAAGCTTTATTGCTCGTACTTTAGAGATGTAATCTGCCAACTTTGCATTTAGTTTTATTCGTATTTTATATTTTTTTTTTTTTTGGTTATTCTATATTTGATATCATTATATTATTTGAAAAGGTTAAGTCAACTAACAACCGTACGTGGCAGCAGCGTCAACGGGTTTCCTATACATTTGTACAAATACATTAATTCATGCATTTCTTATTTATGTTACGTGAATTTTCTGGTTGAACACGTAGACTAAAGTTGTCATATTGTCATTTTTTTAATACTCATTCACGAAAGTAAAGTGAGTATATTGGCTTTGTGTATGTCCGTCGTCTCCGTCCGTCTGTCCGTATGAACGCAATTTTTTCGGCGCTATTGGATCTTGAGACTTTAAATTTGGAACACATACATACACATATGTGTATATATCAGATTTATAAAGTGTTAAAATTTTCCCGTTCCGCTCACCACGCGTGTGGCAAATCGGAAAATGCATTTTCCGATATACCAGAAATCTTAGCGTCGCAAAAGTTTATATCGCCTACAGTTTATGAGATAAAAGCTTCAAGTTGAGTTACTGGTATCCTCCTCTATGACCCGAAAATTATTGTTACGGATGTGGTATATCGAAAAATACCCTGTAATATTCATATATCAATTTTGCATTCTTTTTCCTATCCCATTACTCTCTAGCATAATTGTATTCTATTTGCTATTCTTTATATATATAAAAAAAAAAAATTAATATATAAAAGTATTTAGCGTGGAGAATTTTAGAAAACCAATTCTTAAAAAAGAATAGATTTGTTAAAATTCGCTCAATATATATATGTACATAGTAAAATTTACTACCTTAAGCTGCGCTGAGACGAAGACAAATTGCAAACCTCACTTTTTAAATTCAAACATACAAAAGTAAATGAAACAAGTAAGAAGGCTCTAGTCGAGACTGCTCGAGTAGGAGATACCCTGAACACTCCAAGCTGATATTCTTATCATTCTGTACATCTTTTATGCATATATACATACATGTATCCAAACGCACGCATAAGCCCGCAATCTGCTAACTGCGAAGTAAGCAACGACTGCGCTTGGGCGGCACTGCAGTGTGGGTAATATGAGAATTTATTTGTTGAAAAATTTAATTTCTAGACGTACGATATTAATGAAACTTTCAGAGCGTAATCATAATGTTCAAATGTATGTATATTCCAAAGCACAATTTTTTAGTATTTGAAATGCGTTTTTTACAATTTGGGGGCGAAAAAGGCGTGGTATCCAAAATCTGTAAATCACACAATGTTTGTATTCACAATATGTATATATACAGTAAATCTGAAGCTTCCAGGTCTAATAATGTTCATGAGGCTATCAAAACTAAGTCAATTTTTCGATTATTCTCGATAAAAAAGTTATCGGATGAGATATCGAATAAATAAAGCAAGCTCGTTGTGCGTATAGCATACACGAGTATGCACACAAAATTTCAGTTCTCTAGCTTTTGTATCTTCTGAGATCGACGCACTCATACAAACGGACGGGCGGACGGACAGACGGACAGGGCTATATCGACTCAGCTCGTCGTGCTGGTCAAGAATATATATACTTCATGGGGTCTGCGATGACTCCTTCTGCTTTTTACTTTTACACAAAACCATTATACCCTGATTTCTGCGCCTTTTACAAAGATTATGGTGAGGTGGTGGATTTAGGGGTGGGGGGTAAATTTTAACAAAAACCGAAATTGTATAAAAAGCGTCTTAATATATATTTAAAAGATTAGAATTAAAGATGTGGGAGATATAATTTTATAACTGATTATCGATAAGGTTTTTATCGATAACAAAATAACGGGACCAGTTATCGTCGCGTTCACACATACGGACAGACGGATCAAGTATATATATATTTTGTGGGGTCTGCCACGCCTCCTTCTGCCTGTTACATACATTTT